GGTTGTACAAGCGGCTATTCTTTCCCGTCCGGGGCTCGTGGTGGTTCGACCATGGTACCTGCAACAGGGAGAGAGGGAGGGGAGAGACACATAAGCTCATGTGATAGACGTGCATACAGATACAGTCGAGTTTCAACTGCGTTACACAGGTAGCATTCGAAAATTCCGCCAGATTTTTCTTGCTTCATCGTCAGCCTTTCATGTACGCGTCATGGAGGTATTGTGGTTCTGTGCAAAGTGCTTTGTTGATTTGGAAGCAATTATATCTTCTGCGAAGGGTGGTATGGATATGTCCTCTTTTGCGTGCGTTCATCTAACAACTGCTATGTGATTGGCTTGTCACAAGATGGCTTCTACCCAATCTGATTGGGCAATTCGTAACCAACTTGAAAGATGAAGTTGGGTGAACGCCACCTCTGGGACAATGAGTCGTATCGGGACTGCTTGTTGGTATTTTGAAACTTCGTGGACGCTTGCCGAAGAGGAGGGACTACCGATTTAACATCATGCTGACTAATTCTCCCTGATTTTTGACGGAACGTTGGAAGTCTCGTAGACTAGCCTGGCGACCCGAGAAAAGCTTCGATCTTGTGTATCGGTCCGTGAATCCGTGAACAACCGAGCAGCGGTTTAAAGGCATTTACATCGCGCAGCATTGATGGGCCTGGCCTGGTGCTATTACCACAACCTTCTAAAAATTTCTCGTTTGTTTGTCTCATACGAATTGAACCTGCACAATAAATACCCCATTTTCGACTGTATAGTAACGACAAACTGTTTTCGAGGTTGTGGTAATAGCATCAGCAGTGTGACTGGAAAAAAGCACTCAAAAACGCTGTTGCAGAGCATATAAACCAAATAAAGGTTCTGTTTGTCATTAAAATCCTACAGAGCCTTTCGTGAACTCCTCACAGGTCACAAAAATGAATAATCGAAAAGTTGTGGTAATAGTGATATTCCTGGACCCGGATTAAACCATTTAGATATACACAATCTAGATCGTGCGCGATTCCGCTCACCACAAGTGATTGTCTTGAGATGCTCTGTTCTACGTTGCCATATTCTTGGGAAGACCATGAAAGTGGAGTCCTGCGTATGCGTCGGCCAGAAATGTGGCAAGCATATATGTGAGAGCATACATTGTGACGACTGCTCATAGTGATACCCAGAAAGGTGCTCTACACTCCTGTGGTAATTTCACTAACATGTCGAAGTTGGCTCAAGGTTAACTTCTGACCGACAGCGCCAATGTTGTTGCATTTTGTGCGTTACTTCCGTCCACATTGTCATGTCCACCCGTTCACCGCACACTTATCCCCTGGCTTTCAACAATCTAATACCGGTTCCCATCAAAACAAAAAAACGTATTTAGCACAGACCCAGACCGATAATTGCAAGATAGATGTTCTCACTGACCGACTTCTCGTGATCCATCAGGTTGTTAAGGAAATTATAACAGCTTTCCATAACCCAGCCAGTTGCAATGGTGCTCTGACACAGGTGACTGCTCGAAGGCGTTGATGCGGCATCGCCAGCCTATAAAACTACCTTTTATATGGGCAAGCGCTACTCTCTTCCGTCGAGGAAACTGCGTTTGTTAATCTTGATACAGAAATCGGGTTCTTTTTCCTCACCACCGCCCTTTAGACAACTATCCCAAGCAGACCGCGGTAAATATATTTCTCCCGACATGCTTGAAGGTGATCAGACAACCTTGCATTTCAGGAGAGAGACAAGCTATACTTGTCCATTGTCCATTACCGTTGTCTCAGGTGCATTTACAGATTTCGTCATCCAAGCCCGACACATCATCGGGGTAGCCTACATTGGGGACTCAATATCCCCGGAAATCTCATGTTTCAGTCAAGCGAAGATGAAGGTTGCACCTGCCAAAGCTACGGTAGCCCCCTTGGTCGCCGTCGTCTATCCCTCCCACTCTTAAATATAATAATCCCATTCCAGCTCTCAGTCCCGCTCGCTTAGACAACGAGTTCGATACCCACAGAGGCCCAGACGGACCAAAATCCGAAACATACGAAAAATGATGAGGCCTCATTCTTTCTTGCGTTTACCCGAATCGTGTGAGACTGTCAATTAATCGGTGTCATCTGACCTTCCATCCAGCTGCTCCTGTAGCCCGTACATCCACGTCCGTTGCCCACCCATCATCCCACCTTTATTTCTGGCACTCAACTCTACCACCAGTATATACTGACCAGCACCAATGTTCTTGTAAAACCACGAGGGACTCGCCACCTTTTTTGAGGAGTGCATAATGCAAGTCCTCTGGGCCAAGTGCTTTCTTGCACTCAAGACACGAAACGCACACTGGGCTTTCGTCGACGATGGCGGACTGATGTCCAAGTTCCACTCGAGTTCATGCGGTACCTCCAACTGGTGAGATGATGGGGTATAGCTGTTCCAAGTGTTCAGTTCATCGTTCAAAACGATGGATGAAGCGCCATTCTTTTCGGAGGTGGTTTCAATAACATCAAGCGAATTGTTCGGATTCGTTCGAACGAGTGCGATCGCTCCTCGTTACAAAACCTTTTTCCTTCTCGGGGGCTTTTGCGACCCACCAGCCCTCTCTGACAGTCCTGATACTCTTTATTATCCCGCGTTTAAGGGATCTACACGCGTCGTCGTAGTCGTTTGTTGCTGATATAATTTTCCTGCCACCCATCAGAGCTATAATCTTGTTCATTGAGGTGTGTGAATGGTCTGGGGCAAACGGTTTCCAATGCA